GTGCGATCCAGAAAATGGAAGAGAAGATCCAACGCAGAGGAGAGAAGACAGGAAGTGCTGGGGTGACCGCTTCGTGACGGGCCTAGGACGCAAGCGGTGTGGACTAGAGTAGAGGACAGTGAGCTCTGGGGAGTAATGGAGCTGACAGGTTTGAGCACATGGAACCCACTGTTGGTAGGGACATGGCAGAGACGTTAGAGAAGCTGCAAAACATTAACAATAGGTGTGTAAACGACCAGGCCAGCGAAAAACAAAGGCCACGACTAACTCCAGGAAAAACGAAGCGTTGAACGAGAAAGGTGCCGTGGTTAGGACGGGCTTCTTGGCTCAGCAGTGACCGATATTTGCACAGACACACTGAGCAGACACTGACCATCGATTTAACCAAAAGTGACGATAAAACTATGTTAGAGGACAGAGAGGTGATCGGGCTTGGCTGGGGGACAGTGGAGTCTGTATCTGCGCAGTTAACAGACGTCTAAGGTTAATCCCACTGGCGTGTTCTTCAGGAAACCCGGAGGCAAACAGCAAAAGAAACATCTAAAATTGAAAATGACAGCAAGAAGGGGGATGGCGAGGAGTTACACACGGGGCTGCTTTTTCTTATCACGAACCTTTTAATGTTACTGGATTAAGTGACTTTGACGGAAAGTTTGATTTGAAAAGTAAATGACATTTAAAATGAAATAGAAGCTGAGAATGAATGGGATACAACTAAAACGGAAATGTCTATATAATCAAGTAGAACGATCTAGGGTCGTCCGTATAAAAAGATGCTCTGTGGTTATAAAAACGATTACGTAAGGCGTAAAATGACCCCGCTTCCCCCATGGGACTGAGACGTGGAGTGTGACGGGCCCCCCCTCCTGCCAGCTACAGCCCCTCTTTGACCGACTCTGCCTCCCCCATGCCTCAGGTCACCCCCTCCTACATTATCTCCCCACCTTGTCAGGCCCCAGCCCAAAGCAGCCGATGCTGTGGCCAGAAAAACCTTCCTGAAGTATAATTCTGATTATATCACTCCTTGGCCAACAACCTTCAATGGCTCCCTACTGCCTGCTAAATTAAGCCGCGTCCCTCACCCTGGCCCTTCTTGGTCTTCTCCAATTCTATACCCAGCCCACCTTTCTAGCTTGATTCCTCTACTCCCTCCCTGTGGGTTGTACCAAGCCCTTCGAGTTTCTCTGCCTCAGATAATTCCCTGGTTTTTTTTATTCTGTCGCCTTTATCCACATTGATCTGACCTCCTGAGACACCCTTGGCTTCCTCAGCCTCCATTCCCCCCTGTCCAAAGCGTCCCCAACCCCAAACGTTGCTTCCAACGTGTTGCCTTCCCTGCCCTCGACCCCTCACAAAACACAATTTTCAAAAACCCACCGAGCACTTTGTGATTCTCGCGCTATATCTGGTTTTATCCTTGATTCGTAAATAGCTGAATTTATATTGTATGAAACAAATGTCATAGAAATACTGGGTCTACCTCAATTTAAACTTTTCCACCTGGGGAACAGGAGTGTAGATGAAGAAGATGAAGGAATGTTCACGTTTACTTTATGACTTCCGTATTGTTTCTGTTTTTTACAAACAAGCATGTGTTGCTTTTTGTGATTTAAAAAAAACAAAAAAACCCCACAATGCATCACTACATAACCCAACAAACGTAACGTGGGGAAGACAAGATTGCGTCGACGGACGTGGTACTTGCCATAACTTCAATCTTGAACTCATCCATCACGTATTTCCAGAAGTGGGAGGACTTGATGCTGAAGGGGTCAAAGGTCAGGCTTTCCATGGGGGTGACCAAGCCGTCCACCCTGCACAGGACGTCATCGATGCGCTTGGGATCCCCTGTCACGGCCTTGAGTTCTGGACCAAATATGTTGTGAAATTCCTCCATGACCTGCCCAGTCAAACAGAACGATGAGGAGGTTACGGTTTGGTGTTCTCATGACTACTCTAACTACAAATGGAGAGCAGATCTAGAGTCGCTGAAGGCAACCTCCTCCCCGACTAAGCTCTTTGGTACTACGCCCACCGCACGTGGGATAAGATCCAGGCGCCCTAACGTATCCTGCAAGATGCGCAAGGTCGGCCCCTGCCTACTCCCCCAACTTCTTCCCAGACTGCTCTCCCCCGGCCACCCTGCAGCCACCCCAGCCCTCCTGCACGTCCACATTCCTCTCTGCCTCAGGGCCTTTGCACTTGCAGTTGGAAGTGCCTGACTAGCTCCTACTCATGACTTATTATTCCTTTGTTGTGAACGACCCCTCTAGACCAGGTCAGGCCTCGATGCAGTGCCAGAGCACCCTCAATGTGCTTTCCACAGCATCTACCTCAGCTGCAGTGTGTGACAGTGACATCTACCGTCTTTCTCTGCCCCTGGACGGTAAGCTCCATGCAGCCACAGCCTCGGGATGTTCACTCAGAAGGGCCCTGTGCTGGGTTTAAGGCTCTGCTATTACCAACTTGAAATTCTTAATAATTTGATCTCTGGACTTGTGTTTTGTAAAAAGGGGTATGGCGCGACAGGGGTGTGGTGTGCGGGCAGAGAGGGTGACGGCCATCTGCCTATCTGCCTCCCGCAGGGCGCTGCGCTGCCCCCGGCAGAGGCTTCCGGTGGATCTGGGAGGCCAGCAAGGCCCTAGGGCGTCTGGGCAGCGGGGGCATCTGTGGCAAGTACGCGGGGCACTGCCATTGAGGATGCCAGCGTGTACCGGGAAGACAGAGGGGACTTTGCAGAGGACACGGAGAAGGAGCAGCCAAAGAGGTCCAAGGAACCAAAAAGCAGCAGGGAGGAAGGGATGTCGCCGAAGACAAGAAAAAGTTGCAAATGTCTGGTGTGCTCTGATGCATTCTGGCACGTTCTAGTATATTCCGTGCGTTCTTTCTCCAGGTCCTTCCGGACTCCCAGCTTCTCCCTGGCAGGGAGGGGTCCACTGTCCCAAAGTCAACGGCTTCCCGTGGGGCAAATCCCGACCCCCGTGGCCTGACTCGCCCGCACGGGCTCGGGGAGGCGGCACAGCCCTACCTGCAGAACTGCGTACAGGTCCCGGCAGATGGAGGCCATGTAATCCGTCCTCTCGAACAGCCGCTTCCGGTCAAACTCCCATCGGGCCTCTCTCCCCGAGGCCTCGATCTTGGCGCGGACGTCGAAGTAGGCCTTCTTCCACAGCTTCAGGGTGTTCTTGGCCTCCAGGGTTTTGTGCTGTGCGCTCGTTCGGTTTTCTCTGCAAAGCCAGGAGATGGCGTGGCGGGCAGGGGCAGGGCTGCGGGCCGCGAGCCGTGTCCCGGGTGGGCGGTTCGAACCCAGGAGCCTCCTCGGTTTCAGGAAGTGCAGGGCGGGAAGCCCCGCCGCCGCCTTCGCTGCGCCGCCACCCGGGGTGCGAGGCTGTGCCACTCTCTGCGGTACAAGGAGGGCAGGCGGCCTCGGGCCCCAGACCGGAGGTCAACCGCGGCGGCTGCAACGCCGCGACTTGCGTGCCCATCTCACCTACGTAGATTTTTTTTTTTTTTTTGAGACAGAGTCTCACTGTGTTGCCCGGGCTAGAGTGCCATGGTGTGAGCCTAGCTCACAGCAACCTCTAACTCCTGGGCT